TCGAATAATTTATATTGATATAAATGTAACATATTATTATTATGTACCGTAAGCCGGGGTAACTTTGGCCCCGGGTGGTAACTTTGGCCCGCCGTTGGAATTTCACATACTTTTGTGTGGTGTGATAAGACGTGTGACTATTATCAACATATTGTGGTGGTTTCCGATAGTCAACAACACTGGTAACCGAATATGATAACAGTTTTTGCCGCTATCACTTGTCTTGTTATCAATAAAAATTTTGTTTGTTGTCGAAGTTTTTGTTTCGAAAAAGTGTGCTTTTAAAACTTTTATTTGGTGTTTTATGATTTAATCGACTTAGTACTCGGTAAGTAAGAATATTGTCTCACATATATAATCGTTATAAAGTATTTATCAACAATTGTAAAAAAACAATTTTTTTTGGTTGGTTAAAACACGTTTTTAAGGTCGGGGTAACTTTGGCCCTGGGACAATGTTCCCCGATAGCTACAATCTGAGTCGAACAATTTTGTTTATTTTCCTTTTTTTGGCATTATAATACTATTTCCGTGTTTTAAATAGTCCCTCTAGGTACTTAATTTGTATAGTATCTCATCTGTCTCTTCTTTTTTGTTTAATAGATCAACATGCCGCGTAAAGTAAAACGTAAGCCCGGTACTAGGACGTACCAAAATTATAGTGAACATAATTTACAAATGTGCCTGAAGTCAATAAGATTAAAATTAATGAGTCAACGTGCAGCATCAAATCACTATAAGGTACCTAGATCGACCATAAAAAATAAATTAAAAAATGACCATGGCAAAAGTGTTGGCCGTCCGACAGTCTTTAGCCGTGAACAAGAACTAAGTTTTGCTCAGCACTGTGTTACTTTGGCTAATTACGGATTTCCATTGATACCTTATGACCTAAAAATGACAATAAGTCGATATTTGAATAGCAAAGGTACTCAAGTACCACAATTTAAAAACAATATACCGGGAGATGATTGGGTCAGCGGTTTTCTTAAAAGACATCCCGAATTGTCGGTTAAGTTTAGTGCAAATATTAAAAAAACTCGCGCCAACATAACATCAAGTGACATTAATGATTATATGGACCGCCTCGAAAGGACGTTGAGTGGTATTCCGCCTTCGAGGATATATAATTACGACGAGACGAACTTAACCGACGACCCGGGAAATAAAAAAGTTATTTCAAAAAGAGGTTCAAAATATGTAGAAAATATTTGCAATTCTAGCAAAAGCGCCATTTCCCTAATGTTTTGTGGCAATGCGGAGGGTCATGTCATTCCCACGTATGTGGTGTATAAAGCGGAATCATTGTGGACTACGTGGACAGAAGGTGGTCCACCTCGTACCCGGTACAACAGAACCAAAAGTGGTTGGTTCGACTCCGTCACCTTTGAAAACTGGTTCGAGACTGTTTTCTTGAAGGAAGTAGAAGGTGGCGGACCTTCAGCGTTGATAGGTGATAATTTGGCCTCTCACATCAACGAACGTGTGTTGAGGTTATGTGATGAACACGATATCAAATTTATATGTTTACCTCCGAATACAACTCATATTTCCCAACCACTGGACATCGCTTTTTTCCGGCCAATGAAGGGAGCTTGGAGGGAACTGTTGAGAGAGTGGAAAAAAACCAAACATGGTTCTTGCTTCTCTACATTACCTAAAGACGTGTTCCCAAGGCTTCTCGCCAAGTTGATGGACAAACTGGAATTTACAAAAACACAGAACTTGCAATCGGGATTTGCAAAAGCTGGTATCTACCCTATTAACAGGCAAAAGCTTCTCGATCGATTAGCAGAAAATAAAAATTGCACACTGGACGAAGATTTGATCGGACAGGCGTTCTTAGATCGTCTTCAAAAAGAACGCGAAGATTTCATAGGTGGACCTGGCAAGCCACGAAAAAAAAAATTGCAAGTTTTACCCGGAAACAGTATTTCTTATGAAGACCTCCAACAGGCAAGTGTTGATACCGGACCTGTGGCAAAAAATAAAAAACGTAAAGTTGTGTCTTCTTCCTCCAGCGATGAATCCGATATTATGGATTTTGTCGATGAGTCAGATAGTGGCAGTGAAGAGGACAGTGATGAAAACGTGGATAACCTACATGCAGACGAAGTTGAAGCCAATGAACCTCAAGCCGGTGAACCTGAAAGCAATCAAGCTTCGTACAACGTTGGAGATTTTGTTATTGTAATGTTTGAGAACAAAAAGTTTCCGGGTCGTATAACTGCGATAAGGGAAAAAGGCGCAGAAGTAGATTGCATGGAAAAGAGGTCAAAAAGCTGGCGGTGGCCGACAAAAAAAGATTGCATCGAATATGAGTGGGGCGACGTAATCGGCAAAATAAAACCACCTAAGTTATGCAAACGTAATTTTTTCCTGGTTCCAGATCTGGACGAATTTGTTTGAAAACATAAATTTATATTTCTTATAACTGTTTTACAGATTTTTTTTTATAATATAAATATAATATTTAATAATGTAATACATAAATGTATAATTCGTATAGGTACCTATACGAATACCTATACGTTAGGTATACCTACCTAACTGTTTTACAGATTTTTTTTTTATAATAATTAAAGTATACATTTCTGATGAAATAAACAGTTTCTTTTTCCTAAAAGTTGTTTTTATTTGTTATTTTAGATTGTTTTACCATCAAAATACACGTAATTAATTCTCAGGTAGTAACTAATTAATCTAGCATAGGCTAACTTTGGCCCAATGCAGATATAAGGTGAAAACTATAGGGATTTTAGAGGTGGGTTAAAGATACCCCTGTTGCCGGGTAACTTTGGCCCATTTTTTATTAAAATTTTTTATAGTGAAAAAATTTAAAAATTAAAAATTTGATTTTGTAGAAGGGATGTCTGTACCCACACCTTTACGTGAAAATTGTTAGGTTTTAATTTTTTT